TTAATACATACATATGCATGGATTTGAATTTCGTTATGTTTGCAGGAGTGCATAAAAAGAATTGCCCACATCGTAATCAGTTTTGTTACCTGTGCCTATTTACTCCAAAAAATTGTTTTCTTACCACGAAGAAACTTGCGATACGGGACGTATGAGTGGCATTGAAGCCAATTTTATTTCGCGAATTAGATTGCCCCGCGAATTAGATTTTCACTAAAATTTAATTAGTGAGATTGCTTATGGATATAAGAAATAAGTATATAAAGTCATTTTCAGTGTTGCCATTTTAGTCGTTTTCCGGCTAGATTTAGCCGGTTGCGAAAGCAAATAGCCGGAGAAAATTCGGTTTAGCCGGCAACTAATTTTTTAGCCGTTTCGCAAAAAAAAAAAAATTAGCCCTTTTTAGCCGATTTTGCTATTTGCAATATTTTATTAAAATTTATATATATAAGCTTCCATTTTTACAAAATCTATTAGAAATGTTAGGTAGCCTTATCTCGGAGAAATTTTTTGTGTCGAACTGTGTTACAATTATTAGTTAATTTAATGTTTATTCTTTTTTATGAAAATATAGCTGGTTACTTAAAAAAAAAAACATTTAAATCCAAACTTATTACTTTGTGAAAATATTCAGCTTTGTCCTGAGTTTCGCACGAAAAAAAAATTCGCCCGAAAATTTTTATTCCACCCATAGTAAGTACATGGAAACCAAAAGGTGAAAAGTGAACCGGTTTGGGGAAAATCAAAATCATGATAAGGCTGATTATGAAAATTCGGCAAATTTTCACAAAATTTTTAACCTTTTAATCAACATCTATAGAAATTTAAAATTTTAGTGCAATAAAGCAAAAATTTAAAGTAGATTCCTAGCATTTATCGCTGATTTTTGAAAATTTTTTTGTTGACAATGTTTCGCATATTTTACATATAAAAAACTGGTCGAACATACTTTATATGGCGAAAAATTCGTAACGCCGTCATTAAAAAAATGCCAAAAATCGGCATTAAGTCCTCGCTAGTTCAAATTTGAACCTCGTTAAACTAGAACTTAATAGACTACAAAACTGCATACCATAATTTTTTCTAAAGATTTTGTTAGCAAGGTTAAAAATTTTGGTGAAATTTTGCAGAAATTTCATAATTTTTGCACAATGTCCGAAACTTGGTTTGTTAAGTAATCAGCTATATTTTCATAAAAATAAACTAAAATAAAGAAAAATAGCCACAACTTGCTAAAATGTCGCGGCCCAGTTTATATTTGGGTCACTGTATTGTTTTTTAAAGAACATATCGTGGTGCTGATATCCTTAGTGTCGTTCATTATTTCTCTTTGACAGGTATGTGCAGAGATTAAGCAGGTCTTTAAAAATGGGGACACTTCGAATATATGGACATCAAAATAAAATTACATAGTTTAATTGTTAAAAACTTAAAAAGCGACCGCCTTGTTCAATATAAATTACTGGCCTTTTTTTTCGAAATAATGTTTCGCTATCTTCCTCAGCCTTTTCAAAGCTTTGTGTGTTCATTTCTGCAAATATTGCCCTCCGAATAAGCAAAAGTGTAATATTTTCTACTAATATAGCCAATTTGCAGGACGAAAAGTAACCTAGTGCAAACGTTATAACATAAAAAGGCAACATTTTTCAATAGAAAAAACGTCATAAATTCGTAAATGATCTATTTTTTGTAATTATGTAGGTAATACAAAACTGACTTCTGATTTAGAGCTTTAATTAATGAAGTATAACGACAGTTTCCTTTCTTAACTAAAAATAATTTAATGAATTTATTAGTCTTTCAACTTTATTCAAATAAACATGTTAATTTTAGCTAAAAGATTTTAGCTGTTTTTAGCCGTTATTTTTTGGCCAATTTAGCCGGTCGGGCCAAACACACTGGCAACACTGGTCATTTCAATTAACAACTCAAAAGAGACATAACGAAATTTTTGTTCTCAAAAAATGTGTTTGAAGTGCAGATAAATTTTAAAAGCTGCATGAGAATAATGCAATAGCTGCCACTATCCACATACATACAGACATACATATCTATGAATGGGTTGTACATACATATATGAATTAAAATAAAAAAATTATGTGAATAAAATATTACGTATACGCTGTGTACGACATCGAAAATGTAATGAATTATATATGTACATATGTTTCAAACTTACAATCTGGAATGCAAGTACAATTACTAAATACGACGCGGCTATCGCTTTCTCGCATCGAAGATGATTCGCATCCAGCATGGCAGGTGGAAATATATATACGTCCGTCAACACCACAAATGGGCGCAAAATTCTCCTTATCACAGGAACAGTTGAGGTCACATGCTTCCTCGATCATGGCAGAGCTGCAAGTTAATTCAAAACTTAGAAAACTCTCAAAACTAAAACACTAGGGCTGTTCTGGATGTTGTGGACATGGTCTTGGATTTGCAAAATTTTTTGCTGGCTGTCATGGCAACCGTGTGAATTTACAAATGCAACGAATATGCAAATCCAAGAGCATATGCATAAGATCCTGAACAGCCCCACTGTCTCATACTCACTTATTGCTCGTGCCAGTCTTATAACCGGCAAAGTCGTTCATGCTACATCCTACGAACATTAGGATTACCATGCCGGCTGAGTAGAAGAGCGCTGTAAATGCAATCCAAGCGGCTACTGAGCGCGCTGATGGCTTCAATTTTAATATGACTAAACCGGATA